GTATAATTATAACACGTACAATAAGTGAAGAAGAAGAAAAACCAATTATTAAAAATCTATCTATAAATAATTGTTCTCAACCAAGACATGTTTTATGTGAAACAAATACATTAATTGTTCAAAAATATCTATATGATTGTTTTAATAAACCAAATATATTTGATTTACCAGCATTAATATCAAATTATTTAACACATGAATTATGTTTATCTTTATGTCAAGAATTACAAACAAAATTAGCTATTTTACATATTAATAAATGTTATTGTTTAAATGGTGCTACTTCAAATTCATTCAATATAACAACAGATTTACAAAATTTTCAACAAAAAAATTGTGGAAATTTTTGTCCAGGTATTGTATAACTTTCTACATAGAGATTATTATAAATGAAAGAACAATATTATTGATTTTATGAACTTTTATAGACAGTAGTGAAGAGTAAACATATCTATCCAATAAAAAGAAAATGAAATAGAATTAAGATAATACCAGATTATCTAGATTCAAATAAGAATAAGAAATGACTATGCTCAAAAATATCCGAATCCAACTTTAGTTTGCACACCGATGTATTTCAATAAACACTTCGGCAATTATCTAAATATTCAAAATTATCTAAACTAGTTAAATAGTTCTTGAAAATCGAATCAGAGATCGAGTTCTTTACATGCCTACTTACAAATTCATCTAGTAAAATCATACAAAACTATGTTTCAATTTTAGCTAGACACATTCGAAATCGAAATAAGTGATTCACTTTAGCAGTATTTTAATAAGATATAAATGAATAAACCTTGTCTCTCATATTTTTATCTCCGAACGATTATGTTCAATAGTATAGTCAGGAATTTTTTAAATAGTGGATAATTTTCTAGCCAAAATATTTTGAGGTAAGAGCATGTCATAACCTTAGACAAAATCTTTGAACAATTACTATTGAGTAATTGTTATTAGCACAAGAAATTCGAAGGCGATTATTCAATGGTCCACAGCTAGTTACGCTACTGGATTGTATAAAATGAATATAGATACAAAATTTGATAGAATCATTAATCTCAAACATATTTTTATTGTTAATTTTTGTGAAGATATTGAGAAATATTCGAATATTGTCTTCATTAATAATTCTTTTTCAAACTTTCAATATGAACTTCATTGTATTAATATGTACCAATTTTATTCTTCAATATTAAAACTACTGAAACACTTACCAAATTAAACGTATTTACGAGAGAACATTCTTGCATTTCGATTTATTTTTCAATCGGAACTTCCTAGTAAATTATGTCTATTTAGAAAAGCGGACTGACATGTGATAAAATTCTCTTGTTAGTTAATTTAACTTTTCAACATTAATTATGATAGATCTACTATAAATAATAATTTCTTCTTTAGGTAATTCTCATGAAATATGTGGTAATAATAATACAATAGTTGTTTTTCAAATAATCGATTCTCGTCGTACATATACATTTGCTCGTACACCACCTGAACCATTTCCTAATTATGCTTATGATAGTTGTATATATTTAAATTCATTAAATCAATCAATAATATATCGATTTAAAATTTCTAATAAATATGAATTTCATCCACGTTATTGTTTAACATTTTGTACAAAATATCAACAAAAATATGCATTAATTAATGATATTGAATGTTTATGTACAAATAAACCAATGAAAGATGAAGATAGTGATGTTGATGTATTAACTGGACAACAATGTTCTCAACCATGTGCAGGGAATTATTTTTATTCATGTGGAAATAAAGATAACATCACTATATATTCAATGTATTTATTATCACCAAAATGTCGACATGGTAAAGAAAAAAAAAAAAAAAAAGATTTGAATTTATGTTTTGTTTTTTTCAAAAAAATTTTCATTTATTAAGGTTTTGAAGCTGCAGAAAATGATCAACAATGTGTTTTTAGTCATTTTTCTGCTAAAACAAATTCTCTTCAATTAGCAAAAAATTATTGTCAATCAATTGGAAGTACATTAGCAAAAATAAATGATATTGTTGAAATTCAAGATATTCTACCTGATTCAATATTACATACACGTCTTATGCAACAATTACTTCTTTTTTATAGATTTCGATTTGTTAATGATACAAGATATTATTGGATTGATCGTACAAGTGATTTAGCTGATCCAGCTACAATATCTGAACGTTTACTTAAACAATGTTCTAAAATACCTGAATTTATTGATAAAAATTGTATTGCTATACAATATGTACCAAATTCTGATCAAAGTATAATAAGTCATGAAAGATGTATTATTGAATCAAATGAATGTTCAACAATATCAGCTATGCCAGTTTGTGTTGATCAACATATAGAAATAAAATCAACACTTGTTCCACCTATTACAGATGAAAATCCATCACAAGTATCAGTTGATATTATAAGTGAACGTATATGTGATAATGAATATCATTTTATAGATGATTATTGTTATAAAATAATCGATCATGAAGTAAGTTGGAAAGATGCTCAAGCTGAATGTCGACGTGATAATGCTATGATATTTGTTCCAGAAAAATCTATTACATTACAATATATAAAATCATTATTTTTACGTCAAAGAACATATATATCATCAGGTTTTGCACATGTTGGTGTTTATTATGATAATTCAAATCGTACAGTTATGCAATATAATATTTCAAATGATTACGATGGAATTTCTATACCAGATTCTAATGCTATTTATGATTTATGTGAAAAAACATTTCAAGAACGTTATACAGCATTAATGATATCATCAAGTTTAACAACAAGTGAAAAAACTCGTTTAAAAAGTCAAAAAATTGGTTGTGCATACATTGATTTAATGTCAAATATTGTACCAACAATTCGATGTGATGAAATACCATGTAATCGAACAGCAACTGTTATATGTCAAAAATTATCAACTGTTCAAACAAAAACTATTCAAATACAACGGTAGGTGTGAAAAACAAAGCATGTTCATAGTAGAGTACTGCGGGATAAACTTTTCATGTTTCGTTAACTGTATAAAACTTATTACTTTTCACTCGCTTAGTTACCGTAACAAATTCTTCTTCTTCTTCTCAGTATATTAATCATGACTCAAGTTAGCCACACGTTCTCCGTATCTAACCATCATTTCGAAATGAAGAAAAGATTACCGAGTTGATGAAAATATGGCGAAAGCATTTGCTGAAATTCATTTTTTCAAAAAACTCGATTCTCTTCCAGGGGGCTATAAAAATGCGAAAAAAGATAATTAACACCTGAGAGTTTCCTTATACGGTCAAATTCATCATCTCTTAATTTGTCAATTGAGCCAAGATAGTTAAACGCGACTGAAATTTTTTATAATTTTCTCTACGGAAGTCTAAAATTTACAAATATCAGATATCGTATAGGGTTGTGTTCTGACATTTTTCGGACTCATGCAGTCAATCTGTAGAGATAGAATCAGTTCGCTTCCAAAAAATACGAATCGTTCTCATCTTTATCAATTTTCTCGACTGACAATCTAGTTCTTTATTTAAATATTAAGATATTTCTTAGAAATAAAAAATTTTTAAGTGTACGATACGTTCTGATATAAAAATTTCTAACAAAAACACTCAGAATATTGTTTTTTCCATATTGTCCTGTTTTAAAAAAGTTTGGTGACAATTTCGTTTGTTCTATGGGACGACAGAAACAATATTTTTTTTGGATTTCGGATTGTTCCGCAGGACTCTAATTTAAAGTTATTTGTTCTTTTACTTTTATATTTTAGAGAATATATTGAATTGCAATCGACTGATGTTGTAACTGATCTTTCATCAATTCCAATAGTAACTGATACTAAAACAATTTCATCAATAAATACTACTCAAAATGGAAAATATCTATTAGATTCTTCAGATGATATAAAATCTATTGGAAGAGATTTTGCTCCAATATTTTTAATTTTAATTATTCTTTTTATTCTTATATTTCTTGGTCTTATAAGTACAATATACAATCATCGTGATTTAATATTTCGTCATTCATATCGACGTAATACAAACTCTGTCTATTCTCAATTAACATCTGCAAATGAATTTGATTTAAATTGAAAATAAATATTGAAAAAAAAAAGAAAAAAAGTCAATAGTTTTGTATGACATAATATATTTACAAATGAGAATATACTTCACAATACTATTGAAATTCATCAAATGACAAAAATAGAATAGATGAGAGTGAATAAAAAAAAAAAAGAAGAAGAAGAAGAAGAAGAAAGAAAAACATCTTTGTATACTCAACTTATTAAAAATACTATTGTGTACATTCAATATTGAGTGTACTTGAAATCAAAGAGAATTTCAACTATGCATAACAATGTTTTTAAGCAATGATTTTTTATTGGTTAAAATAAAGTTTCTTAGACAAAAAAAAAAAGAGAGAGAGAACTTCTTTCTTTCAATATATATATATGCGTTTTCTTTTTTTTTTGTTTGGTTGATTTCTAATTTTACGTTGAAGATTATATTCAATATTTACTCTTTTTGTTTATATTTCTCTTGTCTACTTATATAATATTAATGAAAATATATATATATACATAATTAGAGAATATAAAAAAAACAAAATAGAGAACAAAGAGAAAGAGATTTTTGTTTCTCTCTTGTCAGTTTTATTGTAACAATGAATGTCAGTATTCCATTTTCAGTAATATATACTATTTTAACAATGATATTGTATCTACTATTGTAGAATATTGAATTTATTGTATTTAGCAAACTTCATAAGAGTAGACAATGACAATCATAACAAAAGATTAATTAATTATATTATCGAGCAAACAATATTAGAGAGTCTCTTAATTTATAAATAATAAGAACAAAATAATGCAATCGATAAGTATCTAAACTGAAAAATGAGATCATGTTTTGTTTTTTTTTCAAATTTCTATTGCTCTTTTCTGTTGTTGTTGTTGTTGTAAAAAAAAAATATTTATTTTCTAGACCTTCTAAAAAAAACAATGAATCGTATTCTTATGGTTATACGTTATCGAAAAGCAACACATATTGGTTTAAGTATTTCATTTACTCGAATATTTGTTCAAGTTTCTTATCTACCTATTGCTGAACGAAATATTCAAAATTATTTCTAATTTTCATATGTATGTTTTTTCATTATCAATTTTTCTTTATATTCAAAAAGTTTTTATTTTTTTGTTTTTAGGAATATTTAAAATTATTACTATTAATCAATTTGACAAATTGGATAATCTAAACAATATATGGATATTCATCGAAGAAGACAAATGTAATGAAAGACAACAAATAAAACAATCAAGTAAGATTTATCAATATGTATATACCTGTATATGCATATTTTTGAATATTAAATTTCTGCAGTACTACTGAATAGACTTAATTGCCTTATCATTGTATGGTTTTTTTTCATCAATAAAAACTTTCTCTCTCTCTCATATGTAAATGAATGTAGACTACTTAAAACAAGAGGAGAAGGACAAATATCTTGCATGTATATGTACATATATTCAGGGTTAATTTCTTTTTTTTGTTATAGTTCAATGTTAATGCATAATTATTGACTTAATTAAGTAATAGAACAAGGATGAAAAAAAAAAAAAGAAACTTTTATTTGTCTCTATTTCCATATTTTTAATATTTGATTTATATATAAAAGTTAACATAAAACTATGGCTTTTTTTTTGTCTTTGAATTCATATGTAAATTAATATTTTAAGAATTAAGATAAGATAAGACACGATAGTCAATAGCATTTATTTTCTACTTTATATAGTTAACAACAATCAACTTTTATTTCATCAAATAATTTTTTTATATTCATACAATCTAAATTAGTCTAGCATGTGCTTATGTTTGTGATATCTACGACAATAAAAAAAAAAAAAAGCTTTGAAGCTATGTCACTAAAGCAATACTAGACGATCGATGATTGATAGATCAAATCGAAGCACTAGACAGACATAAGGACATATATACAATATATATATATATGTATATAATATGTAAGTATTACATCGATTCAATATAAGATCGAGAAAAGAAATGAATAGTTTGAACAGTTCGATACAGAAGTATAAATGTATACATGTAAAGTATCTTGTCGTTTATCTTAACTTGATGAACGATAACAATGACATTTTGATCATAATTATCTATGTTGTAAAAAATAAAATATTCATAGATTTTTTTTTTTTACTCTCGAATGACACTAAGATATATTTTATTTCGATTAGTATCATAAAAAAAAATCTCCTATATGAACTTGTCTCAATTATGAGTATATTCTATATCTTGATGTGACTTTATATTCGTGACGATTTATTAGTATAAAGCAATTGTATTATTTGAGTGTGAAAATTTGTCCTTGTCCTCAGGATTTTTTTTTTCCTCTATCAAGGATGCACTTTCATGTACTTATATATAAAAAGGTGTAGGAGTGATATTATCTTTGATCAATGTGTTCAATCAGTATTCGATGTAGTATGAAGGCTTAATCATGCATTTGTTCACACTTTGTCCTTTCCGATTTTAATAGCTTTTTCTTTTCATAAGAAAAAAAAACCTATCATGCCAAAGTATAATCGAGTTTTGGTCGACTAAAACAACAACAACAACAACAACAACAACAACAACAATGATGAATAATATTTTTCAAGTTTTCTTTCTTTCTTGTTTTTTGTTTATTCATAATTGAAAATGTGACCATATGAAATGAACTCATATGGATTATCTTAATAGCTTTTGCATAACTTATTTACTTAGAATAACGTACCATATGGTCATTAACAAATGGAACAATCATACTAATATATATATATATATATATTAGTTGCATCCTTGTATCTTTATGGATGTATCTCATAACTCTCATTTTGTTGAACTAAGACAAGGCTAACAAGACAAATGTTTTAACGGACATTTGCAGTTATTAGAAATAGAAACAGAAGGTATAATCAATAATCCGTAGCTTTTGTCCTTAGAGTCGCAAAGAATATCTGAGAATGGAAAGAATTGAAGCGTATGTGTTTATTGTGCAAATAGATGAGGAAAACCGAAGCTCCATCTGCTGTTTCTCATCATCATCATCATCGTCACATCACCATATATGTGTATAATGTGCTATGCTTTATTGACATATCGATCATAGTGTATATGGGTAGTGTATCTCGTTCAATGAGTATATGCGTAATATCCTCTTCCTCTTTCTCCTTCATTTCTATGTCATTCTTTTTTTTTTATCCTTATCTCTTATATCAAATAACGCTCTGTTGCTTCTCGGTTTTTTTTCTACGTTGCTCTATCCATTGTTCTCTTATATGTATACATGTATAACTATGTAATCGAATAGTGAAAGCGACAAGCTCATCATCATTTATTAATCCATAATAAACGTTACACTAGGTTTCTATTTCGATATTTGGAATCGATACCAGATGAAATGAATATAACAGGTAAACGAATAAATATGTGTGTGATCAGGAGAATACGAATAGTTATTGAATTGTTATTATCAATGATGTATAAAGGAAGACATTTTTTCAAAGAGTAAATATTTTAAATGAAACGAACAATGTTTTCATTTTGTAATTTTCTCAAATAGACTATCCTTTTAAGTTGTTCGTACATAAAAGCATACACATAAATAATATTGTTGATGAGTAAAATCGTATGGACATATTTATTCTATTTGTTTCGTTTTTTGTACGTGCTTTCTCTTTCTTTTTCTCTTGCTTAAAGAGTCTCGTACATGTGCGTCAGACTGAGATTCTTTTTAATTCATACTCACATCTTTTATGCGAATGCATATACAATTTTACAAAAAAAAAAGAACCTATTTTTTTTTCAAATCTTCCTCTCTTGTCCTTTTTTACTTGATTACATTATATACAACGACATATTACAAAAAGAGAAAAGAAAAAAATAAAGACTTGTGATGTAGAAAAGGAGAAGAAAAGGGGAACGATGACTTCTTAAGTGCATGATGGACGAAAAAAAAAAAATTTGAATTATTTATATTTGACAATATGCTGTTGGCATCGATAAAAAAACAAAATACGCAAAATGAAAGAACAAAAAAATATTCGTTTTTTTTTTTTGTCATTATTGTTTGTGCATTGTCAGACATTCACTTTCAATAATAATGAATTGTATCGATCAAATAGTAGAAGGAGAAGAAAAAGAAGAAGACGACGAGGATCATGCTGATATAGTAACAATGATAAGTGAGGGTAACATAAAAAGAAAAATGCAGAAAAAGAATTTACACTTGTCTAATATTGACTCGTATTGTCTCGTTGTCATATTACAAATCCTGTCCAAAAATTTTTTCTTTTCTTCTTTCTTGATTCGTCATAGTAGAGCCTTTCGTTAGACTTTTATACATATGTATATAATTGAACATATGGCATAGAGACCTTTACTTTTAGTTGATCAAGTTTGTTCTGTTCGGCCACCACGGGAATATTGTAATCACAACAGTAGTAACAACAACATTTGTTCAAGCAAACAGACTAGTGACGAGACTGATCCTGCTAAATATCAAACGATAAATCGATCGACTTCTTTACCGGCCCGACAGACGTTTTCTTCAAATAAAAACAATAACGAAGATGTAAAACAACGTCGACGATATGCAAGCAGTTCCAATAACAATAATAAAAATATAACTACTTCATTAGTTACTTCATTTCTTCAATATTTACGTAGTGAACTAAGAGCAACAACGAATGAAAATAATAATGATTATCAAAGAATTCAAGAAAAGGTAAAAAAAAAAATACATTTCTTATCAACACTCACTTTTTTTAACTCTATTAATCTTGTTAAAAAAACATTCTCTGATAGATATATATATATATTTTACTTGGTTTATAGAAACGAAAGAGAAAATAAAATCTTTAAATATATACATATCCTTTCATAATTTTTTTTTTTCAATCGAAAAAAATTACCAACAATTTATTTCTCGTTTCTTTTCTTTATTTTTTTCTTCATTCTTAACTACCTCCGGTTTCGATTTATCGAAAAAAAAAAAAGAAAAATTCATCTTACTCTTTTTTCTTGGCAAACGGATACAATACAAATTGATCGTGCTTTATGTGATTTGGATTTCTAAAAAGGAATACACTTTTATGGCTGTTCTTCATTTTTTTTTTTCACATCAATATACATCTCATATGCTGATTCTGTCGTCTACTCTTTTAATCGAACAAATAATTAAAATTTTTTTTTTTTGCTTTTCTTTCTCATATGTATATATTCATATAGAAAGCATCTGAAACCAACAATTGTTTATCTCAAACATTTTATTTATCAAATAATTTTTCTCGTCAACAATATCCAATTCAAATGTCAACATCGTCATCGTCATCAACTGCTTCTTCTCAATCATTAATTAATAATTCGAAAAAATTATCAAATAAAAATTTATTAAAAAATACATTTGATAATAATTCTACTAATGATGATAATGAAATATTAACATTAATTAATTTACTTATTTTACGTATTGAATGTTTACCTAATGATAATACATTAATTATTGAGAAAAAAAATAACGAACAAACTTCAAAAATTAAAGAAATTGATCAAAATTTAATTGAATATCTTTATTATCTATTTAATAAATTTATCAATGAAGATATTGATTCAAATACACCTATGGTAAATAAAACAAACTTTGTTAATATTTGCCAAACAGTAGTACGTAGTGGTTCTTTAAATATGCCATCAACAACATCTCCTGATCAATCTTTTTCGGAATCTACTTTTACAAATGATAGTGATCAAACACTAATTCAAACGTCTGTACGTGAGTATACAGCAGATATAAATGATATAGCAGTAAACAATTCATCGTTGAATGAACAAATTTCATCTGCATCCATGAATGATCAAGAAGCTTGGCTTATTGTTGATTTAGAAGAAATTAAAGCAGAACGTTCAACAACAAATTTTGATGAATCAAAAGTGAGGCATTTTTTTATTTTTCTTTCTTTGTTCTTTTCAAGAGAAGAAAAAAAGCAAATGACTACAGAGAACAATTAAATGAGATAAATCTGACAGGCAGCTGCAATTTTTTTTTTTTTTTCTTTAAAATTTAGTCTGACAAGTAATAGAATAATTTCTCATAGAGTCGATTTCGTTTCTGTATTTATCATATTCATTCGATCGGCGGCTTTTTTTTTCAATATGAAAGGACGTCTCAATTATTTTCGGCATTTTGTATTTAAAAGAAACAAGGTGACAGTCTAAGGTCGTCTGTTATAAGCGGTGAAAATTTATAAACGATATATGCATAGATTTCTTTGTGATCAAAAAAAAACTTTGAGCAAACATTTGCATATATTTGTCAATATTACCTCTTAAACGAGTCATATTACCCATGCAAATATAAGGCTACGAGATAATCATCTTTTTAATGATATATCATAAATCTTCGCTTCGAGAAAAGAGAAAAGGAGCGTTTTTCTTCTTTTTTTTCTCAAACAGAATAATATATTTTGCATAAGAAGAAACAATTTACTACTTTCAACACAGTAAAAAAAAAAAAAGTAAAGCCGATAACAGTAAATATCAATATTCTGTTTCATTGATAAATTATCCATTGAACGAAACCTTTAAGTAAAACAAATCATCTTATCTTTTTAGTTATAATTTTGACCTTTATAAATCAATTAATTTAATTCTCACATTTGTCCTATGACAGTAAAAGTGTAAGAATAATAAAGAAATGCATAAGACTTTTTTTTTTCTTGCATAGTTATTCACGCCTACTCGAACATGAGCAAGTTGCGTCATAGAGACAATTACCACCAAGAGCGTTACTTTTTTTTTTTTTTCTTTTTCTCGGATATGCAAGAGCTAATAGTATACACGAGACACGGTACATATATATATATATATATAAGATAGGTAAAATATTATTTTTGTCTTGTTCTATTCAAGTGTTTATTATCATCACCAACCTGCGATGATCATTTATTACCACCAAATGAAAATTACTTTTCCATTGAAGAGATAAAATCTTCTGAATCTGAATCATCACATAGTAATTATTACTCGCCTGATTCATCATTAGATGATTTAGAAAATATGTTACATGAAATTATTGAAATAAATAATAACAATAATAATAATATATTATTGAAAGAAGGTAAACATGTTTTTCTTTTTTTTTTTCTGTTGAATTTTATGCTTTTGTGTATAATAACTATGCATCTTTCGGATCGAAATACATAAGAGGCAAAGGAAAAAAAAAATATAGTTTATATGCTTTCTTCGAATAAGAGGTAGACATAAAAGAGAAAGAAGAAGAATAAGAAGAACAAGAAAAAAAAAAAACGAAGAGAAGCACATTTGTTGTTTGATCATGTTAAGACTATTTCAAAAGACGGTCAAACAAATTCGTGGGTGATCAAAAAAAAATAAAATCATTATTTTCTTCTATTATTCTTATTCTATATTAAATAGAAGGATCATCATCATCATCATCATCATCATCATCAAATGAACATGCTTCAAATAATACTAATGTCATTATAGAAGTAAAAGATACTACAAGCAATGACAACATTTGTACAGGATTAACTAATGATTGTAGTACTAATAATAGTAGTATTGATAGTAAGGAACAAGTAGCATCATCAATAATGGAGACAAATGAACAGATGACAATGAATCTAAATGATAAAACGTCCCGACGTGAACGAAAAATGCAAGAACGTTGGACAATAACAACTAAAAATAATAAAAATACAAATGAACAATTACCAACAAAAGCTTTTTTAGGTGTAGAATTTCCACCAATAGCTGTACTTAGACGAAAATTTTCATCATCACCACCATCAAAATTAAATACAATACCATTAAAAAAAAAAGATTATTCAACTGTAAAAACAAAAGTATTATTAAATAAAAATGAAATAAATAATTCTTTACAAGATAATATTAATAAAACAAATGAACATATTTCATCAACACCATTAAATCGGTCAATGTCATTACAAAATCAGGTCAGTCAGTTTATTATGTTAAATACTAAATTAAAAACACTTTTCAATGTTAATCGATGTATATTTGAGACTATGTTCTCGATATTTGCTTTCTAATATGAACAAGAGTGGAAAAAAAAACATAGTTATTCTAACCTTGCTATTCGATTGACATAACTACATGAATTCTTATTTATGCATCTATCAACACTTTTCGATTCAATCTTGATAACTTACAAAAAAATATTTATGATTCAGAACAAAGAAAAAAAAAAAACAAAATATCTTTATTAAATAGATAGAGTACACCTTCATTTTGTTGCGTATGATATGTTATATTTCAACTATTAGATAAATTAAATCAACTATGCTTAAGTGATAAGAATTCGTTTTGAACTTGTTTAAAACTTTGTATGATAATAAAATTGAGCATAAGAAAAAAATATATATATATATTTTTTTTTCTTTTGTATTAAAAGAAAAGAATATTATCCATGATTTAATATTTCTCTATGATAAACATGTTAGTTTTTTGTAACAAGTTAAAAATTTATTAAGCTGATGAGAAAATAAATTTATTAATCTTGTTGATAAATTTGATATGTCATGTATTGATTTATCAATATTCATTGATTATTTCTTATGCAAATCATGGTTTTTTTTTTTAAACAATATTAGTTAATATAAAATTTTTCTTCATACATTCGAAGCCAAATAATCTTGTCATCAACTTGACCGATTCTTCACTCGAGTAATACCACTTGCCCTATGATTGTTTGTCTAACGACATACACATACAGACAGAAAGTAATTCTTTTCTCTTGACTACTACTAAAAGTCATTGTTACAATGAACCATTTTTTTTTTCTGATTCCTTTCTCTAATGTGATGATAAACGTAACATACGCATACACATACACACAAACTAAAAGACCAATTATATTATTTATTCGAGTATATTTTTAGGAGATTAACACATCAACAACAACAAACATAGTGGACAAAACAAAACATGATCATCAAGTGCTTGATTTACAATCGAATGGTAAAGTTTTTGTAAAATCATAGAAAAATCACCGAAAAAAACAAAAGAAACATTTTCCTTCATTACTACCAATTATAATTCCATTAAAAACGAAAAAGCCTCTATATACATGAGAAAGAACGAGATGAACAAATTCTTTTTCTTTTTTTTTTCTATTTTACTCTATTCATCTATTCTTGTCTCTAAAATGAGATGTCATCAATTGACTAGTTAGTCGCTTCATTGATCACTATCAATCTCATTTATGACAGATGACCAAGGATTGAACATATACTTTTATATATACATATATCTACACATTTTTTTTTTCTCATATATTGACATCATTACTTCATTTAGATACTTCGTCACTACTAATTTGTAATGATAGTAAAACTAATGATGATATACAACAATCATCAACAATTATATCAAATTTATTAACAGATGAAAAAATTCTTAATGAAAATATGAAAATCGAAACAAAACAAGATTTAATTGAATTTGACAACGAAATTACTACAAATATTAATCATAATTTAGATCAGCATGAACAAACAAATATAAATAATAATAATAATTCAATTATGATATCTGATTCAATTCATACAAATTCACCTTCATCGTCTTCTTCGTTATTATTAATGTCTTCTTCTTCTTCTTCTTCGTTAACAACACCTACAAATGAAGAAAAACTTATTGAACTTTTACCAAATGAAATAGAAGAAGGAAAAAAAGAAGAAGAATATTTTGACGGCGGCGACGACAATGTTCATGTAGAGAAAAAGAACAACTTCAATGTCGAACACAACTCCTACCATACATCGGGAATAATATTCATAAACGATGAACCAACACAAGCAGGCTTGTTAGAACAAGAAAAAAAAGAAAAAAACGAAGAAGAAAAAGAAAAAGAACAGCCACTACTAACATTAGAGCAATGCAACCATCAACATTTTCAAGGTGAATCTTCAGTTAAAATCTTATCGAATAATTTAGAATATAACGTAAATATGTCAAATATTGATAATAATGAACAATTATATAAAACAATTGAAATTGAAGAAATACCAGATGAAGATGATGATCTATTAAAACAAAATAATTATTTAATTGAACCAACAGATTATATTCTTACTGATGATGAACTTAAAATATCACGACAAACATCACAAAAATCACATAAATCAACTACAAATGATATATCTTTTGAATTTGATCCTGTTTTATCATGTTATGAAAAAGCATTTTCAAAAATGGTTGAAAATATTGATGATTCAATAAAGCCTTCAAATACAACATCAAAAGAATCACAAGTACCATTAAAAACAACATGTCATCAACGTCCTGAAGATGATCCTATTGCTTTACGTGCATTAAAACGTTTTGAACAACGTATGAATGCTGCTATGGCTACTAAAATTGGTAACGATGAAACAAATCCATTAATGGTCAAAGGTAAATCATCATGGTCAGGTACACAATCCACTCCACGAAAATCACTTGAAAATGTTTTTAAAAATGATCAAACAATACCATTAACTTCTACTTCGATTAATGAACAATCACCAACAAAATCTTCACGTGATACATTTATTCGACCACGTAAAACAATACTTGATGATATTGGAATTAATCTTGGTATTAAACGAAATTTACCTGATAGTACTATTCAAAATAATTCAACAAATAATAATAATCATAAAATAGAAGAACAACAACCACAACAAACGCCAATAGCTATAGTAGAAAATAATGAAAAACAAGGTGAGTGTATACACTTAAACGCTGCTTAAATGAGTATTCATTTACATTTTTTTGGAATTAACATGAGTTAAGATTATGAAATATTGTATACCTTATCGTTACATGAAATTATTCATATAAGATATCTATCAAAAGTTTTATACTAAAAATAATAATAATAAATCGATTTCGAATGAAATTAAATTCAAACAAATGCTATATATATATATTGTTTATAGTATATATTTGTTAAGAATTATTTTAATCCCATGACAATAGTCAATGATTATTTATTGTTAAATAGTTAATCAAATAGAAGTAGAATATCAGAAAAATTTATTAAAATAAATGAATTCTATGTAGCTTAGAAAGGTTAAAAATGAACGTTTATGATATCATTTCGAAAAGCCATCATAGGATAAAAATAACTTTCACAAAAAAAAACAATTCTGCGTGTGTAATGAACAATAAGTGAATAAAGTTTGGACTGAACAATAAAAATAGTGTAAAAATGCCTGTGACATAGAATGAGCAAAGGAATATATATCATATCATATAATAACAAAATTCATCATCAAAACTTGAAGAAAATTTCATTGATTATTTATATTTGATCATTCATTTATAATTTGTCACTAGTAATACGTTGTTTACTCAATCGTAAAATTTACCATATAAAATGAAATCTCTAATATGATATCTTTTATGAATAATATCCACTCACTCGTGTCATTTTTTTCTCTCTCTCTCGCTCCCAAAGTGTTGATTGGAGACCTACACTACTATATTCTATATATGACATAAGCAAAAGAAAAAATTTGAAAAGAAAACGAATACAAGGATACAAAGTATTGAAAAGAAAAAGAAACTGACTTCATTGTACAGTCCAACAAATATTCCTATTCAGTATGAAAGTCTGTAAATCATTTTTTAAAGATATTCATTAAAGTTTGGTTCTTTTCTTTATATTCAACGATCGATCAATAGCTACCTAAGTTGAATAGATTGAAAAGACATTTGTTTAATGATTTGAAAAAAAAGAAAAAAGAATGTAAGAGAGTACAAGCTCGTGTATATTGAGCTTAGAGCAACAGAAAAAAAAAAAAGAAGTTCATATTTGCTTTGCGCGGCGTTAGTCTTTTATCATAACCTCCATGGCAGCAATCAAATGTCTTTTCTTTCGTTTTTCACGAATAGAAACGAAACAGAGTAATATGAGACCCTTGGCTACCATCAGCATTACTAAAGATGAAAATAATAAAATATAACCCGAATGAATTCGATGATTTCATTTTCTTTTTGGTTATTATGTATGTTGTGTGATCGAGTTGTAGACAAAAAAAAAAAGAATGTTTAGCTGTAAGGCTCCTCATTCAGTCTTCTTTTATGATTAATATTATTGTTTAGTTTATAAACGATTTTTTTTTTAATGTTGCAATTTTATTTCAGTTGTTCCAGACGAATTAATAAAGACTATTGTTTCTGAAGGTCATCAACAACAAGAACAAGAAATGATAATCAATTTATTAACAACAAATGAAAATAGTTCGAGTAATGAAGCAGAAAATTCAAATTCATTAGCTACTTCATCACTCGATAGTTCATTAAATACAGTGATTTCACACTCATCATCTGAACAACAAACACTTACACCATATCGTCTTCAACTTGAAGGTCGTCGTCGTTTAAATACACTTGAACGTATTCATGATCGTCATGATTCAAATGATTCAACACAACAATTTCAAAATCAATACACAGTTAAACCTGAAGAATTACAAGATCCAATTATTCGTCGTGCACTTGAACGTTTCGATGAAAAAAGTCGTTCATTAGCACAAACAGTAAAACCATCAAATTTTGATAATATTCAAGATCCTATTACACGACGTGCATTAATGAGACTTGAAACAAATTTAAAACGTACTATGCCATCAAATCCTTCAACAACATTAACATCAACAAATAATAATGATCCAAATGAAACATGGTATACAAATAGTTATACACTTGGTTCATTACAAACAAATAATGATAATCGTTTAACACGTTATCCTGATTCATCTTTATCATCAACACCATCTAATAAAACACCTCATGTTTCTATACATCAACGTTTTTGTTCAACATCATCATCTGATATGTCAGAATTATCTACAAATAATATGATATCAAATAATGAACATGATATACCAATCATGCGTGTACCAACACAACCAATTTATGTTACATCAAATAATCATCAACAACAACAACAACAACAACAACAACAACCGATTAGTTTACGTCAACGTTCACATTCTGAAGATATGCTTTCATCAAGAGATATTTCCATGAATGAAATAACAAATCTTGATAATAATAATAATAACATAAATCAATTACAACAAGATGATTTATCAGATGAACTTCAACAACAACAACAACAACAAGAAACACCATCATCAAATGAAATTACTTCAAATAAAACTGATTTACCATTACCAACTACAATAATTAAATCTCTTGATCCAAATTTTGTTCGTACAACAGAAGCATCTATTAATTATGTAACACCTACACAAACATATTCAGCATATAGTTGTGAATATACACGTCCACATCAAAGTTCATTATTAACATCACCGAAATTAGAATTATCATCTCCTAGAAATTATCAACAACAAAATGAAAATGATATTCAATATTCAAATCCATCATCATCATCATCATCATCAGCATTTACACCTGTTCATCCTTCAACAAATAATTATCATCCTCAACAACCATTACCTACACCATCGTATACGTCAATGTATACACCGAATAATCTTAATCAAACACCTTATTCTGATGATCCAATGTAAGTTTAAATAAAATAATCATCATAAAAAAACAAAAAAAGAAATTTTCTCTTTCTTCATTATAGTGTTCGTCGAGCACTTGAACGTTTTAATTCTCAAATGCAAAATAGTCTTATGCAGATGCCACAACAGCAACAAAATATGAATGGTATGTCTCGTACAATTCCTAATGGATATCCACGTCAAGGAAATCTTGATTCATTTTATCCCAATGATCTTCATCCATATGATCCATGGACAAATTTCAATCGTTCTATGCCACCAACACCTAATGCAAGTACTGGTTATCAATCAATAATTGGACGTCGTCGACAATTACGTCATGATGACAATTATCATGATAATACAAGTGTTGGTAATGCTTATACATCATTATTATTTGTTAATTCTCAAAATCCATATCCACAAATAAATAATCCTTATATGAATTTGCCTGATGAACCACCTGCAATTCCACCACGTTTACATCGTGATGTTTATCGTGAACAACAAGAATATATATCTGAAAATGTTAATAATAATAATAATAATAATAATAATAATGCATATATTCAACAGGGATATTCAACAATGCCAAATGGATTTCGACCAATAAGTCATACATATATGCCATCAGATTCTTTTCATCAATTTCAAGACGATGAATATTTACGTCATCGTGCACAATCAACATCAAGTACAACATCATCGGATAGTGTTCATCCAATACATTTAACTAAACAACGTTTACCTCCAACATTTGCAAGAACAAATATACAACAAAATAAAAAACTTTTACCTGATGATCATTCACAATTACAATCAGGTAAATAAATTCAAAGCAAAAATAAAAAAATAAATATTAATTCGTTTCATTTTCTTAGGTCAAACAACACCAAATAATGGTAGTATAGCAGGTGATTCTGTATTTCATCGTCTTGCATATACAGCAACAAAATCTTCATTATCAAAATCAAGTTCAAATTTATGTGCAAATTTATTAAATAAAACTCCACAGCAACAACAACAACAACAACAACAACAAAATAAATTAAATAATTTAAAACCATATGAAATTGATTATGATGATACAAATAATATTCCAAATAAACAAGAATCAATGTCAACATCAACAAATTTTACAAATAAATGTCAACGTTCAAGATCTGTTGATGGTCGTGCACGTTTAAAAAATGCTCAAATTCGTAGTAGTAATAATAATAATAATAATCATCATCATATAAATCGTTCAACAAATGATTCTGATGATAATAATTCTACAGCAGCAGTACCATCATCAAAATTTACATCAATGAATACACGTCGTGATGCTGCACCACCACCACGTATTCCAATAACACCTCGATCAACAATATCCGATCGAACACCATTATCAAAACGTGTATCAAGTGGAAATAATTTATCATATACAAAAAATCATAATGGAAATCGAACACGAAATTCAAATGGAAATTTAGTTGATACAGATAATGATGAAAATTTAACATTTAATGATAATTATCAACCAAAAATAATTGATAATAAAACACGTGCATCAATGCCTGTTCATCGTTATACAGCAAATAATAATAATAATAATAATCATATTCAATCATCAGCATCAACATCATCTGTTAATAGTACAATGTCTCGTACCAAAGTTCCAGTACCAATATTAACAAGTCTTGATAAAAAAGATTCAAATCTATCTGGTACTGATCTTAACAGGTTAGAATTAATTATATTAATTTTATTATCAATTAGTAAAAGTTCTATTACAAAAGCTTCTTTGAATCAATATAAAACATCATAATAGATTTTCTTTAGTGAATCAAAAAAAAAAACCAGCTGTGTGCACAATTCATACGGGATTAAAATATGAAACATGATATAGGCGTTGTTGTTAATCACAAGAGGATTTTTTATTACATTTATTTTGAGGCACATTTCTTCACCATGTTTTTACTTAATCCTCCAGAGACGCAATAAGGAAGTAGGTCACAAAACGTTAATTGCTATACGATCTTTAATCGTATATCAACAATGGAGAGGAGGACCATTGTTAAGGCATCTCTATCACAGTCTATGAGGAGGGAAGCGCAAATTTCTATTTCTACTTTAACACTTCTATGTGATGTACTCATAACTAAAACACAATGTTTATTGATTGATAAATTCTTCGTCGTATGAGTTAGATTTATCTTAGACTTAGTATTCAGTTAACCTTG